CTGAAGCACTTGGCTCTCAGCAGAGACTTAAGGAAACACTGAGAGGAACAAGAAAGCAATCTTATGGCAGAAATTCAAGGTTTCTTAAGATACCTGGTCACACAAATGCAATGCCATTAAAATCATCTTATTTTATTTAGTTAATACGTATGAAGATTTTGCCTGTATATGTGTCCTCAGAGGCCAGAAGAGAACATTGAATCCTTGAAACTGGAGTTACAGGCAATTGTGATCCTCCATGTGAGTGTTGGTAATTTAATCTGGATGTTCTGGAAAAGCAGCTAATTCACTTAACTGCTAAGCAATCTCACTAGCCCAACTGGAGTTCTTAGAAACATAGAAGTGTAAATGTTCTCCCACAATTGTTCTATGGAACACATAAGGTCAGTACTGTTGAGCTCAAAGTCCAGGCACCTGTATATTCATAGTTCTTGTGCTTTGGATCTCCTGGTATGATGTTACAGACAGTTGTGAACAGCCTGACATGGGCTTTGGAGTTCAAACTCAGGTCCTTAAAGAGCTGTACCTGTATAGTCACTTATAAGTGTATATTAGACATATAATATACGATAATCATACTAAAATCTGTACACCTAAGGAAGCTAGTCAAGAAGGAGGACTCTGGTAAGATGCTCAGTCTTCATTCAGAAAGGCAAATGAAATGGATATCAGAAGATGGAGAAAACAGGGAACAGGAAAGGAGCCTATCACAAAGGGCCCCTAAAAGACTCTACCCAGCAGGGTATCAAAACATATGCTGAGATTCATAGACAAACCTTTTGCAGAGTGCAGGAAATCTTATGAAAGTAGGGGGAGATAGAAAGACCTGGAGGGAACAGAAGCTCTACAAGGAGAGCAACAGAATTTAAAAATCTGGACACAAGTGTCTTTTCTGAGACTGATACTCCAAACCAGGACCATGCATGGAGATAACTTAAAACCCCTGCACAGAAGTAGCCCATGGCAGCTCAGTGTCCAAGAGGGTTCCACAATAATAATAACAGGGACCATCTCTAACATGAACTCTTTGATCATCTCCACCTGATGGGAGAGCAGCCTTACCAGTCTACAGAGGAAGACAAAGAAGCCAGTCTTGATGAGACCTGATAGACTAGGGTAAGACAGAAGGGGAGGAGGACCTACAGTATCATTGGACTTGGAGGAAGGGCATAGGAGAAGAAGAGGGAGGGAGGGTGGAATTGGGAGTGGATGGAGAGGGGGCTACAGCTGTGCTAGAAAGTGAATAAACTGTAATTAATAAAAATAAAATTAAAAAAAGAAAAAAAAGAGCTGCACCTCTTCTTAACTACGGAAACATTCCTCCAGGCCCCTCATTCATTAGAAAAAAGTCGGGGAGAAGGATAGCTCTGAGATTAAGAGCACTGAATGCTCTTCCAAAGGACCCAAGGTGTACTCCTGTCGTCTACATGGTGACTCTTATCATCTGTATCTACACTTCCAGAAGATTCAGTGTTCTCTCTGGCCTCTGCAGGTTCCAGACACAAACATGATGCACAATCATACATGCAAGTAAAATGCTCTATACATTTTTAATAAATAAATAAATCTACATTGAAAACAGAAACATGAGCCGCTTGACAGATGTCTCAGTGGCTAAGAACACATACTATTCTTCCAGGAGACCTAACTTCATTTCCCAGTGCCCACATCAGAGAGCTCACAACTGCCCTATAACTCCAGATTCAGGGAAACTAGACCTGTGGTCTCTATGGACACAGGCACATATACACATAAAGACTGAGATAATAGCCAAGCACAGTCTTGCCTTTCTGCTTATTACAAGATAGCTAACAGCACGTGTATAGGTTTCTTTACACAGCAGGAAATTCCCCAATTGTTAGGAAACTGGCCTAACAATTCAGGTGTTTCCTAACTCAGAAATAAAGAGAAAGGACATAAACACTGCCATAGTAAGAGAAATAACAAAAATATTCTAGTGATTTTATTCCTTCTGTATGTGCCACTATGTCTCTATCTTTACCTCTGTCTCTCTTTATGTCCCCATTGGCTTTTCTCTTACTCCCACATTTTGAAACAAGCTCTCATGTATCCCAAGCTGTCTTTAAGCACACCAAGTGGACATCTAAACTTCTGGTCCTCTTATCTCTGCCTCACAAGTGTTGGAATTACAGGCGTGCACTCTCACACCCAGTTTATACAAGATACCTTTCAGGTTAAGCAATCACTCTGATTGGTCTACACCCCCAGTGTAGACATCTTCTTTAACTCACTTTGGGAATTGAATAGATTTGAGGTCATCGTAGAGGTACAAATCCCTGAACTACAGCAGAAAGGGTTAGTTTGCTGGGGCTTTTACTACAAAGCACCACATAGTGGGTACCACAAAGCACAGCAACTGATTCTGTTGCAGTTCTGCATGCTGCAGCTGCAAGATCATACTGCTGGTCCCAGAGTGTTCGCTTTGACTGATGGCTGGCCATGTTCTCCTCTTTGTGTCCTCACACAGACAGCTCTGTAAGTTTACACAGCCCTAGTGTTTCTCTCCTCTCAAAAAGACAACACTTGCATTGGATTAGGGCCCCAGCCTTATGGCCTCACTTAGCTTTAATTCATTCTTTATACATCCTAACTCTCAATAGTCACATTGTGATGGAATGTGAATTTGGGCTTTGGCTTGAGAGTGAAGGAGAGCCCGGTTGACGATAGAAGGCAGGATTAGATTATGAGAAAAGTTGATGAGAGAAAATTCTAGAGGTGGGCCGGAAGGGAAAAGTGAGCCTGTCATATGCCTGCAGTTCAGAAGCATGATCTGAACTACAGTGATTGAAATGAGGTGTGATGAAAACCTTCACACAGAAAGCCTGTCAGGATACAAGAATGCTTTCAAGATACAGGTAAAATTTATCACACTAGAATCTGTGCTCTGCATCAGTAGACTGTTTATTCTACTCAAATAAAAATTACTTTTGTAACTACTGTGACTCTGAATTCACAAGTGAAGTGATTGAGTCTCCTAAATTATGGTCACATACAATCACCACCTGTTTGGTTGGTGCAGTCTGCAAGAGCATCGGGTGCTCACAACCGCTGACCTTCCCTCTAGTCCCACCAATACTAGCTTTCACACAGCCTGCAAGCCAGGAATATATTTTTTTTTCCTGCATTTGTTGTCTTTGTGTTTGTTTGTTTTATGCCTAAAGAACAACAAAAGAATTAAAAATGATGTGTGAAGTGACGTGAAATCCAATTCTTAAATGATGTATTGTTGGCATATTATCCGCACATTCATGCTATAAACCTGAACTGAGGACCCTGAAGCCTGTCAGGTATTAAATGCTGACCTTTTTGTCCTTGATAGAAAATGCTTGTCCCTGGTTAAATGGCTTGTTTTGTCACCCAGCTAGTGACTGAGCCAGGTTCTAGCTGAGAACCTTCACAGTTCCCTGTGGCAGTTGCTATTTCAGAGGTATGTTTTCTGATGGGAATGATTTGGTGTCTCAAGCGGGAATTCACAACACAGAGTACAACCAGTGCCATTTCCTTTGGGCTTGCCTAGATTGTGCAAACAGGGCCATACAGCAGAAGTCCTCCCTGAGACTTTCCTGTTTTTCTTCACCCTCTAAATTGTAGCCTACAATCGTATGCCTCTGTATTTTCACAGATGCTGTGTGGCAATCATGGGTTATTGGGTAGGAAAGAACAAAGCTACCTTCTGTTTCAATAAGTGGTGTGTTGGGCTATGGAGGATCAGGTGGGGGATTCTCATAGAACAATCAGACTTCAAACAACCTCACACTTTGTTCAGCAGTTACTGTCTACCTATTCCCTTTCTTGTTTTCCCTTGGGATCTGGATCCTTCACCATGTAACAGGATGCCTTTTCCACTCTGTTCCTGTGAGTCATGTTGAATTTGCATAACTTCATGTACAGTAACATTTTTCCCTACTGAGACATTCAGATCTAGAGGGAGGTTCCTTTAGGTTCAGGAAGTTAAGATTTGAAACATTTCCCCCTAGGAATAATACCTGTCAGGGAAAACACAAACTTACAAAATACATAGAGCCCTGTAAAGGGTTAAGGAAGCAGTACACACCTGCTTGGGAGAAAAGAGGAGGCAAAGTTACCTGGAGGAGGCTTTCAGACTCACCAGGATACCTGTGGGAAATTCTCCAACATCTGGAGTTGCCTGCAAGTTTTGTGGAGAGCTCTAGGACTGCCAGGTTTCTTCACTGTCACTCAGTCTGAGGTAGGTTTTTTGGTGATGCTTACAGCCTTTGAGTCATACATGTTTCTGTAAGTATACCCTCGTGTATATTTCTGTCCGTAACTCCAACAAGCTCACTGGTTCCCCAAATTGGACTGGGAAAGTTCATTACTCTTATTTGTCCTCAGTGTCCTGTCTGGGGCGAATAGACATCTTTTGAGGTCCCTCCTGAAGAAGTCTCACGTACAATACCTCCCATACTTGGGAACCTCTTAAAAAGTGTTTGTAATGGGTGATCACAAAGGGACGTTGGTAAAAGTATGGGGTATTATGTGATTGTGCTTGGAGACTGTGGCTAAGTATAGAATGCATGATTCTTTCTGATTGTCTGAACTATTCATATTTATGTTCCTCTCTCTGAGTCTCTAGTTACTATTTCTCTCCTCTCCATCTCTGCCTTTCACTATTTACCATAGGTTCTTCTTACCCCAGCCTCCTCCCTTTCCTTATGCTGAGAAGGTTTCTGGACATCCAGCTCCCTTCACCTCTGATATGGAGAATGTTAGACCTCTGTATCCCAAAAAAGATAAAGCAGAGGGAGGTGTTCAGGCTCTTGAGTTTCTAGGAGGATCTAGCCTACTCACCAAATGCTGTTTTTTTTTTTAAAAAAAAAATAAGACTTGAGTATAATCTCGGGGTCATTGTAAATCACAAAAAACTCTGCCTTCCTGTTTGCTGTTACTCAATTCATTTCTGCTTTGTGACCCCTCCCCCTGTCTCTTTGTATATTTTCTGCTGAGCCCATGAGAGACAGGCCACTTTCTTCAGAAGATCAGACTTTCCAGAGGAAACCCCACAACTGTTGGAAAGTGCAGGTAAGAAAACTTTGCCTGGAGGAAATCACAAAGCCTGGGGTTTATCTTTAGTACCACATAAACCAGACACAGTGGGGACTCCTACAATCTCAGTATTACAGATGTAGAGGCAAGAGAATCAGAATTTTAAGGTTATCCTTACCTGATTATAAGTTCAAGGCCATCCTGAACTACATGAGAGCCTTACTAAAAAGATAAAAAGGAAAAAAAAGAAAAAATAAGCTCAGCTGTGGAGAACTATAAGGAAAAGAGGTGAATACAGAAACATATATCACTCTTCTAGGATGTTTTGCAACAAAAGAGAGTCAAAGGTGTGGTTGGGAACTAAATGATGATATGAAAGTGAATGATAACGTATATTAAAGATGCAATGTTGTAGAGCATATTGATGTGTTCATTTGTAGTGAAGAATCAAGAAAAAGTATTGAATGTGCACCAGGGAGAGATAGCACTCCTACAAAAAAAAAAAAAAAAAAAAAAAAAAAAAAAAAAAAAAAAAAAAAAAACACGTTGTGGTATGAGCAGAGGGAAGGTCTTAGGCTGGGATACTTATTTTCTGGTGAGGCCAGAGAATGTTCTTCAGGAGTATGGAGGGCAGTAGCCATGCTGGAGCATGAAGAAAGGCATGGGCTCTACTTAGATGGGAGTATTCAAGGCTCAAAGCTTTAAGCAAAAAGCCAAAGGATCAAAAGTGTTCTTATTGGATTACTTGATTTGTTGCTGTTTAACTTCCTGAATTCTTTATATATTCTGGATATTAGCCCTCTGTCAGATATGGGGTTGCTGAAGATGCTTTCCCAGTCTGTAGGCTGTCATTTTGTTCTGAGTACAGTGTCCTTTGCTAAGCTTTTCAGTTTCATGAGGTCCCATTTACTGATTGCTGCTCTTAGAGCCTGTGCTGCTGGTGTTAATGTTCAGAAAGTTGTCTCCTGTGCTGATGAGTTTAAGACTCTTCCCCACTTTTTCCTCTAACAGACTTAGTGTGCTGGTTTTATGTTGAGGTCTTTGATTGATTTGGACTTTAGTTTTGTGAAGGGTAATGAATATGGATCTATTTACATTTTTCTACATGTAGATATCCAGTTAGACCAGCACCATTTGTTGAAGATGCTATATTTTTTTCCATTGTAGTAACCCAATTAAAAAATGGGGCATAGAGCTAAACAGAGAATTCTCAATAGAGGAATATCGAATGGCAGAGAAACACTTAAAGAAATGATCAACGTCCTTAGCCATCAGAGAAATGCAAATCAAAATGACCCTGAGCTTTCACTTCACACTCATCAGAATGGCTAAGATCAAAAACTCAAGTGACAATGCATGCTGGAGAGGATGTGGAGAAAGCAAACCCTCCTTCATTGCTAGTGGGAATGTAAACTTGTACAACTGCTTTGGAAGTCAATCTGGTGCTTTCTCGGACAATTAGTAATAGTGCTACCTCAAGATCCAGCTATACCACTCCTAGGCATATATCCAAAAATATGCTCAAGTATACAACAAGGATATTTGCTCAACCATGTTTGTAGCAGCTGTATTTACAATAGCCGGAACCTGGAAACAACCCAGATGCCTCTCAGTTGAGGTATGGATATAGAAATTGTGTTATATTTACACAATGGAATACTACTCAGCAATTAAAAACAAGGAAATCATGAAATTTGCAGGCAAATGATGGGAACTAGAAAACATCATCTTGAGTGATGTATCCCAGAAGCAGAAAGACACACATGGTATATACTCACTTATAAGTGGATATTAGATATATAATATAGGATAATCATATTAAAATCTGTACACCTAAAGAAGGACCCTGGGTAAGATGTTCAGTCCTCATTCAGAAAGGCAAATGGGATAGAATCACAGAAGATGGAGGAAAAAGGGAACAGGATAGGAGCCTACTTCAGAGGGCCTCTAAAAGGCTCTACCAAGCAGGATATTAAAGCAGATGCTTAAAATCATAACCAAACTTTGGGCAGAGTGCAGGGAATCTTATAAAAGAAGGGGGAGATAGAAAGACCTGGAGGAGATAGGAGCTCCACAAAGAGAGCAACAGAACCAAAATATCTGGGCAAAGATTTTTGTTTTGTTTTGTTGTTTATTTTTATTTTCCTGAAACTGATACTCCAACCAAGCACCAATCAGGGAGATAATCTAGAACCCCTACACAAATGTAACTATCCCATGACAGTTCAGTGTCCAAGTAGGTACCCTAGTAAGGGGAACAGGAGCTGACTCTGACATGAACTCAGTGGCTGGCTCTTTGATCACCTCCCCCTGAGGTGGGGCAGTTTTACCAGGCCACAGAGGAAGACAATGCAGCCAGTCCTAATGAGACCTGATAGGCGAGGGTCAGATGGAAGGGGAGGAGGACCTCCCCTATCAGTGGACTGGGAAAGGGGCATGGGAGAAGAAGAAGGAATGAGGTTGGGATTGGGAGGGGACAAGAAAGGGGCTACAGCTGAGATACAAAGTGAATAAATTGTAATAAATAAAAAAATTAAGAAAAGAATTCAACCAAAAAAAAAGTGTTCTTATAAGTCATAGGAAATGTGGCCCTTGGGGGCAAAGGACACTGAAAACTATGAGGAAGATAATGAGCCTAAGCAAACATGTCCCAGATGCTTCATGGGACCTGTTGCAGAATTTGCCTCTGCCTCCTCCAGAATTGATAATTTTGGTTGTTTTCCCTCCTCAACGCCTAAATTTATTCTTTTAACACACTGTTGATGATGTTTAGTAATGTTCAAAAATATCAGGGTCTTCAGAAAATGAGGCTCTGGTACAATGATTCTCAGGCTTAAAATGGTGGCCAACAATATTTTTATTGAATCCAAACTACAGTCTTTTTCTTCCAACCATAGGTGGGGCCATATCTCATAGTTCTTGTGCTCTTGCGTGTTCTGACCTGTCATTGCAGAATCTTCTTTGTTGATTTTGTAAATCTTTTACTCATTGCTTCAGAGATTCTTAAGAACAAACAGCTCTTAGCACAATTTGGTGATTGGTGGTTGGTGGAATGTGGGGAAAGAAGAAATGTTTCCAAATTTTTCTGCAACTGTAAAGCATTGAGGTTCAATAGTAATGTGAGACACACATGTGATTTTAGGGCATCCTGGGGATCCTTTAAAGAAATAAGGATAATTGTAGTGCTGGGAGAAAGTTCAGTATGAAAAGTGTGTGCCCTGAATTCAATCATATAAACTGAGTATTGTTCATGCCTGCAATCCCAGAATTTGGGAGTCAAGGAAGGAGGAACAGAAGTTTAAATCTATCCTTGGGGAGTTGAGATTCATAAGACCATGTCTCAAAAGACTAAAAGAAAAAGGAGGAAGAAGAAGAGGGTGAGGAAAGTAAAAGGAAAATGAGGTATGTCTGGTTTTGATAGCACACATCTGTAAACCTACCACTTGCAAAGTAGAGGTAGGGAATCTGTTATGAATTCAAGGACAGCCTGAGTTTTATAGAAAGTTCCAGGCCAAACAGGGCCACATAAGAAGAAAGTACGTGAGCAGGAGGAAACAGAAAAAGGAAATGGGGGATGGAGGGAAAGGTAGGAGGTAGGAAGAAATTAAATCTAATCACCTATTTGTTCAACAATTACACACATAATCTTATCTAATCAAATTATCACTTCAGCATATAGTCAAGGGATATAAACATTATTTTTTTAATTGGGTCTTGTTAACATTTTTTTTATTAATTACACTTTATTCATTTTGTATCCCCCCATAAGCCCCTCCCTCCTCTCCCCCCCTCCCAATCCCACCCTCCCTCCCCTTTCTGCATGCATGCCATTCCCCAAGTCCACTGTTAGGGGAGGTTCTCCTCTCCTTTCTGATCTTAGTCTATCAGTATAGACTGTCAAAGCAGATGCTGAGCCTGATGGCCAACTGATGGGCAGGATATAAACATTATTAATGAGGTATTGCAAGTTTCTTTCTTCATAGACTTTCAAATTTGATGGTCATTGTTGCTCTTTCCCATCTCAAGTTGAATACTATGAGTCTGCCCTATGAGTCTGCCCATCTCCCAAAGCAGTATGGCTGAGCAAGGTCAAAAAGAGACCTTTGCTGAAATTTCAGACTGAGTAACTGAGGGACTCTAAGAAGTTAATTTTGTTTTTGGTTTTTTTTTTTTGGGGGGGGGGTTTGTTTTTATTGTTGTTGTTTGGTTTGGTTTTTTGTTTTGTTTTGTTTTTACTTTTGGAGATTTTGAGACAGGGATTTTCTGTGTAGCCCTGGCTGTCCTGGAACTCACTCTGTAGACCAGGCTGGCCTCGACTCACAGAGACTCACTCAGCCTGCCTCTGCCAACTGAGAGCAGGGACCAAAGGTATGCACAACCACCCCCCAGCTAAGAAGTTAATTTAATGTTCCTGGTCTGTTTTCTCAGCAAGTGTCATGCGAGAGAGAGAGAGAGAAAGAGTAAAGCTCTGAGTCTAGAGCTGGCTCAATTAACTGCTTGCTATGCAAGCATGAGGACCTGTATTCAGATCAGCAGCACCCATATAAAAACCAGGTGTGGGTCCTCAACTTCAACACTGGGGGAGGCGAGGCGATGGGCAGATATCTGGAACTCATTGGTAAACCAGTGTACCTCTGGGTTTAATAAGAGACTTTGTCTCAAAAACATAAGGTGAAGAGTAATCAGAGAAGGCATCTGACATTGACCTCTAACCTCTGCATGTATATTTCCATATACACACAGACAGGAAGACACCTCTGTCATTACTTGTGAATTACTAATTAATGTCCAGTCTTATTAACTCATTTTAGACCCTCTTCCCCATTTAAGGCAGTCTTCAGGTAATATTAGAGAAAGCCATTTTTGACATGAGCAACACTTTGCTATTTAATCCAGTGAAATCTCATATCCAGCACATGTTGAAACTCTCCTTTCTCTCTTGCCTTTTCTTACCTCCAAGATCTTGAAGAAATCTCATAGACAAAGATAACATTTCTCTTCACCAAGATAATTTGAAAGAAGAGCCTGGAGAGACAGCTCAATAGTTAAGTGTGCTTGCTTCTCTTGGAGAGGACCTAATTCCACTTAAATCAGCCAGGTCACAACTGGAATCCACCATCTCTGGCCTTCTCAGGCATTTGCATTCATGCACATATATGTACACAAATACACACATATACACATAATTACAAATAATTTTAAAATATATATTAAAAGCTAATTTCATTTGTTTATCCAATGCAAATGGTCTCGGCCTTGAAAACATAAAGACAGATCACAACATACGGACTGAGCAGGTTGTATTTAGGACTCAGTCTCTCTCTCTCTCTCTCTCTCTCTCTCTCTGTGTGTGTGTGTGTGTGTGTGTGTGTGTGTGTGTGTCTGTGTGGTGTAGCAACAGCTAATGGAAAAAGAGGCCATACATGTGAGAGAGAGCAGGGAGGGAGTGGAGGAGTATATAGGACAGATGGTTTGGAAGGAGGAAAGAAAAAGGGAAATGGTGAAACTGTATTATAATATCAAATACAAAAGAAACTAAATGAAAGAGATAATTTCAAAGATGTCACCTGAAGACGTTTATTCATGTAACTGCCCCCTCTAAGCAGAGTAAAGGAGCTTCCACTGAAGACCTAGGAAAAAAAGAAGTAGGTATGAAATGAAGTGCTCGTGTGGAGTGACTGTCTGTCTGGATCACTGAAAGCATCCTCCGCCAGCCTCCTAATGTATACACACACCATTTGATTCAAGCTGTGGTAAAATAAATACAATAACATTTCCACCGGCTACTTTCCTCTTATTTTCATTGTTGCTTACATGAAGAAGCGATCAGGGTTATTTCTGAAAACGTTCTCTCACTGGAGCTGGAGTTTTCCAGCTTGGATTGACTGCTTCCCCGGCACTGAGATTTTAGATAGGCACATATCTGTATACACTTTACCAGCTTTGTATATAGGCTTGGCACTCAAAGTTAGGTTCTTATGCTATTGTGACAGGCGGTTTACTGACTAAGCAATCTTCTCAGCCCCTTATTACTTGTTTACTGAAAGAAGGTCTTTCTATGTCTTCAGGTCTGTCTCAAATCCACTATGCAGCCCATGCCAGCCAAAACTTTATGCCACATCTTCCAAGTGCTGAGATGACAAGGCTACACCACCACCACCACACCCAGTTTAAATTTTACCACTTTAAAATTAAATGCCATTAAGTGCATTTAAAATGTTTTGCAACCATACTCCTATCTAATTCTAGAACCATTTCATCACTCAAAAGAAAACAAATCCCATACCCTTTGAACTATAACTCTTCTCTCCCCCTCCATCAGGCCCCAGAATCCTCTAACATGCTGCTTTTTATAAACTGACCTATTCTGAATATTTGTTATAAGCTGAATAATGCCTCATATAACATTTTGTGTTTGGATTCCTTTTGCTACCCCTTTAAAGCACATCTGCCATACCATATATTGTATTTTCTATGTAATACAGGCCTCACACTTGCTGTTCTCCTGGCTTAGCACCACAAATGTTGTGATTACAGGCATATGCTACCTCAATCAGTGTGCTTCATTCTTTTTATGTCAAAAATCTAAACATCAAGTGGAAATATCACAATTTCTATATCCAAATTATCTCTTTAGTTTTCCCACCTAGACACATGCTAAGATTATCTGGAAAAGGGGAAGCTCAAATAAGAAACTACCTCCATCAGATTGGCCTGTGGAGGACAGAACAGTCTGTGGAGCACTTTCTTAATTAGTACTTGAAGTGGGAGGGCACAGACCACTCTGTAGGTGTCACCCTGGTTGGCCCTAGGTTGTGTAAGAAAGCATGCTGAACAACCCACGAGACCAAGCCAAAAAGCACCACTCCTTCGTGGCCACTGCTTCAGTTCCCAGCTGCAGGTTTCCGCTGTAGCTTCTCTTCACGAGAGTATAAAATATAAACCAAAAACAAACCCTTTTCTTCCTCAATTGCTGTTGGAAAGAAAACTCGAACAGGTTGTTTCTATATTCCAGCTATCATGAAAATGCTGCTATAAAATTTGTGCACATTTGAACACGTTTTTGGACATGTTCTATCTATTCTTTGACAGAACCTAACAATCATCCTCACATTTTCACCCTCATAACATCACCCAGCACATACCCCTCTGCCACCATGTCTTCCCCTTTTGTCTTTGCCTTCTGGGATGTTAACTCATCTTGTTGGCTTAACCTTGTATTGAATCATTGAACACAACTATTATCTACATACTGATCGCCCAGTTTTGCTTTGTTTTCTCCCTCTTGCAAATTAAGCATCCACATCAGCCAACTAATTGCATTGTTGGCAGAGTGCATATTAGCGATTGTGGAAACATAGGCACACCTCCCCCCATCTGATAAGATACTGACAACATAAGTAAGCATGTCAGGCAGCAGTGAGCTTGCTCCAGCTGGGGTTTGAGGGACTGGGAGGAAAAGTAGATTGGGTTCAGTAATAAAAGCAAGGGGGAAAACTGCAAGGAAAACTGTCTGGAGGCAGCATTTCCAAAAATGGGTCTGGAAGAGATGTCTCAGTGGTTAAACTGCTTACATACAAGTGTGAGGGCCAGAGTTTGGATGTCAGTTTGGCAGGTTTACCTGTCAGTCCTAGGTTCACCTATAATTCCAGCCCCAGAAAGTAGAGAGAGCCAATCCCCAGAGCAATCTGTCTAACGAGGTTAGTCATAAGAGTGAGTTCTGAACTTGACTGAGAGAACCCACCTCAGTGAATGAGGATGATCCCTGAGGTCAACCTCAGGGCTCAACATGTATGTGTGCATATGTACACAGGCATTCACACACAGGCATGCCCTTAAACAGGTAAAGAAAACAAACACACATGAAAAATGGAAAGATGAAGCCAGACATGCTGATGTATGCCTTTAATCCAGTACTCAAGAGGCATAGGCAGGCATGTTTCTGTGAGTTTGCACCCACTTTTATCTATGGAGACAGTTCTAGGCTAGCAAAGGATGTGTACTGAGCCCATATCTCAAGAAGAAAAGAAAAAGATAAACAAATGAACAAATCTGTTTCTTAATGTTTTAGGAGTGAACAAGATGGACACCAACACCTCTCTCCTCATGAATATGACTGCAGGGAACTCCATGAATGTGTCTGGGAGGATTCAATCAGTATCTGCTGGCTACATTGTTCTGGATGTCTTCTCATATTTGATCCTTGCAGTCACCTTTGTCCTCGGAGTGCTGGGCAACGGGCTTGTGATCTGGGTGGCTGGGTTTCGCATGGTACGCACAGTCACCACCATTTCTTACTTGAACCTGGCCATTGCTGACTTTTGCTTCACCTCCACTTTGCCATTTTTCATCACCTCCAAGGCCATGGAAGGACAGTGGCCATTTGGTTGGTTCATGTGCAAGTTCATATTTACCATAGTAGACATAAACCTGTTTGGAAGCGTCTTCCTGATTGCCCTCATCGCCTTGGACCGCTGTATTTGTGTCCTGCACCCAGTCTGGGCTCAGAACCACCGGACAGTGGGTCTGGCCAAGAAGGTGATCATTGTACCCTGGCTGTGTGCTTTTCTTCTTACCTTGCCGGTTATCATTCGTTTGACCACAGTCCCTAATAAACTTGGACCAGGAAAAACAGCATGCACTTTTGACTTCTCCCCCTGGACCAAAGACCTTGAAGAGAAACAGAAGGTGGCAATCACCATGCTTACTATCAGAGGAATTATCAGGTTCATCATTGGTTTCAGCACGCCTATGTCCATTGTCGCCATTTGCTATGGGCTAATAGCCACTAAACTACACAGGAAAGGCATGATCAAATCCAGCCGGTCCCTGCGTGTTCTCTCCTTTGTTGTGGCTGCCTTTTTCCTCTGCTGGTGTCCATTTCAGATAGTGGCCCTCATAGCCACAATCAGAATACGTGAACGCTTGGCTGGGATGGCTCAAAACATCCAAATTGCTCTGAATATCACAAGTTCCTTGGCTTTCTTCAACAGCTGCCTCAACCCAATGCTCTATGTGTTCATGGGCCAAGACTTCAGAGAAAGACTAATCCACTCCCTGCCTACCAGTCTAGAAAGGGCCCTTAGCGAGGACTCAGCCCAGACCAATGACACAGGCACCAGCTCTACTTTGCCTTCTGACAACAATGTAAATGCAATGTGAAAAGAGAGCTCCAACTTCCAACTTCCTCTGCTTTGAGTTCCACTGTGCTATAGGCCTTCCCTGTTGGCCCTTGGGCTACATACTCATTGGAAAAACTTGAGAAGACTTTTTGAACCTTTGTACCTCGACCCGAGGTGATCAATAAAGAGAAAAGACAAAAAGAACATGCATTTTCATGTTAGTTTGAGAGAGTTCCAAATGAAAGCTAATACTGTAATGTCATTGGAATACTGTTGTCCACTTCTAGTCTACTCAGAGGCCTTAAACTCACAAATTCTCATAAGTGCCCTTCTGTGGATAATAGGTATATGTTTCCTTTAGAAAATAAACTAAGAAAGTGAAAGACTCCCCACCCCTTGAACTATGCAATTGTCTGATCCATTCATTATAATATTTGGTCTGCCTGTTGCCCTCATGAGACCAGAGTTTGCAGTTGTGCCTCTCAGTATAGCTACAACCAGTTTGTATAGTATATGGCGTTTGAGGTACCTGTTCCAAAAGGAATGAACCCAGAATGGAACTTCAGTTTTTTACTTCCAGTGGCAGTGAATAAATGACACCCTGTCCCCCCTCCACATACATGCCAGCATTTGTTGTCACTTGGGTTCTTTTGATTCTGGCCATTCTAACTAGAGTAAGATGAAACCTCAAAATAGTTTCAATTTGCAGTTTGCTGCTGGTTAAGGATTTTTGAATATTCATTTCAATGTCTTTTAGTCATTAGTAATTCATTATTTGAGAAATCTTTGTCTTTTCTGTTGCCTGTTTTTTTAATTGGGTTGTTTGTTTTCTTCATGTTTAGTTTTTTTTTAAGTTTTTTGTATATTTTAGATACTAACCCTCTGTCAGATGTATAGCTGGTAAAGTTTTTTTTTCTATTCTATATGCTGTCGCTGTACTTGAATGATACTATTCTTTGTTGTACAAAAGCTTTTTCATTTTATTAGTTCCCATTTTTTCATTGTTGATCTTTTTAAAATTATTTTTATTAATTACAGTTTATTCACTTTGTATCCCCCTGTACCTCCCTTCCTCCTCCCCTCCCAATCCCATCCTTCCTTCCTCCCTCTTCCCTACCTGTGCCCCTCCTCTAGTCCACTGATAAGGGAGGTCCTCCTCCCCTTCCCTCTGACCCTAGTCTATCAGGTCTCATCAGGAGTGGCTGCATTGTCTTCCTCTGTGGCCTGGTAAAGCTGCTCTCCCCTCAGGGGTTGGTGATCAAAGAGCAGGTGAATCGGTTCTTGTCAGAAACAGTCCCTGTCCCCATTACTATGGAACCCACTTGGACACTGAACTGTCATAGGCTACCTCTGTGCAGGAGTTCTAAGCCATCTCCATGAGTGATCCTTGGCAGGAGTATCAGTCTCAGAAAAGACCCCCATGGCCAGACTTTTTGAATCTGTTGCTCTCTTTATGGAGCTCCTGTCCTCTTCAGGTCTTGCTATCTCCCACTTCTTTCATAAGATTCTCTGCACTCTGCCTAAAGTTTGGCTGTGAGTCTCAGCATCTGCCTGGATACCATGCAAGGTAGAGCCTTTCAGAGGCCGTCTGTTTTCTCCCTCCTCCATGTTTTCTCCCTCCTCCGATGCCCATTCACTTTGCCTTTCTGAATAGGGATTGAGCATCTTAGCCAGAGTCGTCGTCCTTGATTAGCTTCCTTAGGTGTACAGATTTTAGTATGTTAATCCTATATTATATGTCTAATTTACACTTATGAGTGAGTATATACCCTGTGTGTCTTTCTGCTTCTGGGATACCTCACTCAGGATGATTTTTCCAGTTCCCACCACTTACCTGCTAATCTCATGATTTCTTTGTTTTTTGTCAGTGAGTAATATTCCATTGTGTAAATGTACTCATTGTTGATCTTAACACCTGTGCATAAAGTCCTATTTTAAAAAGTCCTTTCCTATCATGAAATCTGCAGGTAAATGGTGGGAACTGGAAAGGATCATCCTGAGTGAGCTGTCCCAGAAGGAGAAAGACACACATGGTATATACTCACTCATATAGACATACAATATAGGGTAAACCTACTAAAATCTGTACATCTAAAGAAACTAATCAAGAGGGAGGACCCTGACTAAAATGCTCAATTCCCATCCTGAAAGGCAAAGTGGATAGACATCAGAAGAAGAAAACAGGAAACAGAGGCCACAGCGGGCCTCTGAAAGGCTCTGCCCTGCAGACTATCAAAGCAGATGCTGAGACTTATGGCCAACTCTTGGGCAGAGTGCATGGAATCTTATGAAAGAAGTAGGAAATAGTAAGATCTGGAGAGGACAGGAACTCCCCAAGGAAAACAACAGAACCAGAAAATTTGAACACAGGGGTCTTTCCAGAGACTCATACTCCAACCAAGTACCATGCATTGAGATAACCCAGAACCCCTGCACAGATGTAGCCCATGGCAGTTCAGTGTCCAAGTGGGCTCCATAGTAATGGGAAGAGGGACTGCCTCTGACATAAACTGTTTGGCCTGCTCTTTGATCACCTCCCCCTGAGGGGGGGAGCAGCCTTACCAGACCACAGAAGATGGCAATGCAGCCAATCCTGATGAGATCTGATAGACTAAAATCAGAAGGAAGGAGAGGGGGACCTCCCCTCTCAGTGGACTTGGGGAGGGGCATGTGTGAAGAAGGGAGAGGGAGGATGAGATTGGGAGAGGAGGAGGGAGGGGTTTATGGGGGATACAAAGTGAATAAAGTGTAATTAATAAAAGTTAAAAAAGAAAAAATACAATTAATAAGAAAAACATTAATGAATGTTTAAAATAGCTTTGGCAATTCTTTGTATCCCTAAAATATTTCCCACGGAGAATTACAGTGTTCTAACACACTCCCCCCCCCCCAAAAAAAAAAAAGTTCTTTCCTATGCCAATAAGTTCAAATGTATTCCTTGCTTTTTCCTATATCAGATTGAGGGCACCATACCTGATAATTACAGTCCTCGATCCATTTGGAACTGAGTTTTGTGCAGAGTGAGAGTAAAAATACAGCTTTTTTTTCCTTCTACATATGGCTATCAAATTTAGCCAGCATCATTTACTGGAGATGCTGTCTACTACCATGTATGCTATCAGTCTTTTTGTTTAAGATTAGATGATTGTGAAAGTGAGGACATATATCTGGATTCTCAATTCTATTTCAGTGGATCACTGAGTTCCTGAATAGATCGATGCATAGTGATCTAGTGCTAGAAGGTTCTATGCTCACCACCAGAAGAGAAAAAGAATCACTAGTCTTGCCCATTTGTGAACACTGAGAGCTACATTAACAACCATGCTGGCAAGACATACCCATTGGTACAATTCTGGCATAAACTTCCTAGGAGTAACCAGCCACTTTCCTGTTAGATTTAAAGCCCACTCAACAAACTGAAACTCATTCCTGCCACCATTATCAGAAGCATTAACCTTTGACTAGAAAGGTCATAGGCTCTAGGAGAGAACCTTTTACTCTGCTAAATATGCATAGTGTTAACCAACTAGCAATGACTATCATTCTATACATAGGTTAGTGCGTCTCTCTCAACTCATATTAGAGAAGTTTTTTTGTTTGTTTGTTTGTTTTTTGTCCTGTGGATAATAATGAACACAGTTACTTAAAGTGTAGAGAACAAGAGACTAATGAATGCTCAACCCTATATGGAAAATGCATACTATACACAACCCTTCCAAGGTTCAAGGGTTGTTGTGAAACAGGGTACAGAAAGATTGTAAGAGACAGAGATGGTGGATGACTACAAGGAAAAAGTGTCTTCTGGACATAACAGGGCATTGACACATACAAATACACAGGAGTGATAACTGTGAACAGTGCCTGTGCAAAATCAAACCAGATCAAATCTCAAAATGGAAAGGAGAAGTGAACATGAAGTACCACACCTAGCAGAGGAGCTATTGATAATTGGAAGCTTATGGGAAGAGTGTCTGTTTTTATTTTTGTTTGTTTGGGTTTTTTTTGTTTTTTTTTTTTTAAGGTATAGCCTCTGGTAGATCAACTATGCTCCACTGGAAGGCCTCACATCAGAGGTTATTCAGGTAGCACAAACTGTACTGGATAGGTTTTTTTAAAAGAAATAAGAGACCAGGGCATGGTGTCACATATGTTTAATCTCAGCACTCAGGCAGGCAGAGGCAAGTGGAACTCTGTGAGTTTGAGGCCAGCCTGATCTACAGAGCAAGTCTAGGACAGCCAAAGCTTCACAGGAAAACCCTGTTTCAAGAAACAAGAAAGAAAGAAAGAAAGAAAGAAAGAAAGAAAGAAAGAAAGAAAGAAAGAAAGGAAGGAAGGAAGGAAGGAAGGAAGGAAGGAAGGAAGGAAGGAAGGAAGGAAGGAAGGAAGGAAGGAAGGAAGGAAGGAAGAAAGAAGAGGAAGTAAGAGGATACAATGGTGGGTAGGAAGGGAAGGGGGAGTAGATCTCAAGAATTGAGTGAGGAGGTTAATATGATTTAAATACATTGTATGGAATTCTCAAAGAACAAATAAAAATCAGAAACATATAATTTTAAAAGAAGAAAATATCTGAGGGAAATACTTGATTTGCCACCAAGTCAGACAGATGTGCAAGTAACTCTGTGAAAGCCCATTTTTTTGAGACAGGATTTCATGCATTGCAAATCAAGGATGACCTTTAGCGTCTCTGTGCACAGGTGTACTACAGAGCTGTTCACCCAGAGTAATTAGCAACAGAACTGATTCAGTTGGTAGGACTCTGGGAAGGCATCCAAAAAGAACTGGATAGTTGCATAGTGTAAGAGAACCCCCATACATCTGTTTTCACAAGTGCTATAAATAAGTAGGTTTTCCCCTTTAGTCCCTGTCCCAGAGGGTGACAAAACAACCACCAAGATGAAGAATACTGTAAAAAAAAAAAAAATTAAAAAGGGAGCTTGGGTTTCAGTGAACTCAGCAGTGTGAGGAGCCAAGAACAATGGAGAGGCTCTGTCTTAACCACTTACTGTGCTGACACAGTAAAGCCACATCCCTTGCTGTTTGCCAATGAGAAGGAACCACTTCCTGTTACTCAAGTAACCCCAAACCTACTTCCCCTCCCCTCAGCCCTGCTTTTTCCTCAATTCTGTTCAGAAATGCCTGAAGGTTGAGACACACTTACCAGATGATCAGAACCCAGAGAAACCACAGAGTTAGATCAAGAGTAAATAGTTTGTGTCAGAAACATATATCTCTAGAGTAGGTAATTAGGAAGTCCAGAAGAGTTCAGGATAAAGGGAATGACAGGCTCCTGGAACTCATGGTTTCA